TAAGCTTTTCCTAGGGGGGGGTGTCCCAATGGACATGTAGGCGGCATAACAAGAGTTTTTTAGAGCGTGCATGAGAGGTTTGGCCTAGGGGAGGTGAATGCAGGAGGTATATCTATCTTGGAGTTTTCATCGTCTTTGGATCTTACTATGGCAAGTACATGACTTAGAAAAATAGACGAACATCTTATCACATATAAAAGTGGGGTGACATATTCTCTGATATATTTCTTTCTTATTAGGAAGTCCAATAAAAAGATTTGCTTGGATAATAAAGTTATTTTGCGAGAGAGCTTGACTACCCAATAGAGTTTTGATTATGGATTTAAGAATTAAAGGGAGAGTAAAAAGAAGAATTCATATGGTAGCGCCAAAGATCAAGTGCTGACATTTAAAGGGTAAAAAACAAGAAATTTTCAACACATGATCTTGGAGGAAGAGTTTGAACAACTACAAGGAAGTAAAAATGATATGTGGTTTAAGATGGCTCTAGAGATTAGAAAAGTGGATAAAAAGACGTTGGGTGAATCAAGATGTTTTGGACATAGGAGTAAAGAATCATGTTGGTGGAATAAAAATGTCTAGAGTAAAGTTAGAGTAAAAAATAATTGATTTAAAAATTGGTCTGTGTAAAAATGCTTAAACGTGGGATAAGTACAAGAAATGTAAGAATGAGACCAGGAAGACGGTGAGTGAAGCAAGAACCTAAGATTTTGACGAATTATACCAATCTTTGAGAACCATGGAGGAAAAAAATCTATATATAGGCTTGCTCAGGAAGAGAAAGAAATACTAGAGATTTGGATCAACTAAAGTGTGTTAAATATGAAGAAGACAAAGTTTTAGTTTAGGATAAAGATATAAATGATGGATGGAAGGCCTATTTCTACAACCTAGTTAATGAAGGATATGATATCTCACCGGACTCTAGTAGACTTGACATTAGAGAAGGAGATCGAAACTATAATTACTACAGTCGAATTCAAAAATAGGAGGTAAAGGAATCATTGAAAATAATGAGTATCAATAAGGTTGTTGTACTAGATAACATATTGAAGTGTGGAAAATTCTTAGAGATATAGATATTGAGTGGCTCACCAAACTCTTTAATGAAATTATGAGGTTAAAGTGCATGTTGGATGAATGGAGAAGAAACACTTTAGTTCCAATCTATAAGAACAATGAGATATACAAAATTGTGCAAATTATAAGGGAATTAAGTTTATGATTCATACCATGAAGTTATGAAAAAGATTGACTGAACGAAGATTAAGAAAAGAGACTCAAGTCACCGATTTGGTTATGCCTAGAAGATCGACCATGCAAGTGATTTATCTATTACGATGTGTGATAGAGTAGTATTAGATGGAGGGACAAGACCTGCACTTAATTTTTATTGACTTGGAGAAGGAATATGATAGAGTGCCTAGAGAAATTTTGTGGAAATCCCTTAAGAAAAAAAGGATTGCTTATATTCGAGCTATCCAATATATGTATGAAAGGGTATCGACTAGTGTGCGGACACAGGGTTGAGAGACGGACGATTTTTCCATTACAATCGATTTTTCATTGAAGTTCAACCCTAACCCCCTACCTTTTTACCTTAATTTTAGACGTACTCACATAACACATCCAAGAGCTAGCACTGAGATGCATAGTTTTTATAAATGATATAGTTCTTATTAGATAGTCGAATGAGAATTTAAATGAGATGTTGGAAATTTTGAGACGAGCTTTAGAGACGTATGATTTTCGCATAAGCAAGAGTAAGACTAAGTATATGACATGGAAGTTCAACAAAAGAAGAAATGTTTCTAACTTAGAGGTGAAAATTGGAGATCATATTGTTCCTCAAGTCACTCGGTTTAAATATCTTGGATCCGTAATACAAAATGATAGAGAAATAGAATGGAAAGTAAACCATCGAATTCAAGACGTGTGGTTGAAATGGAGAAGGACAACAGGTATTTTATGTGATGCAAATGTACCACTCAAATTGAAGAGAAAGTTTTATCAAATAGTTGTAAGACCTATGATTTTGTACGAAATAAAAAGTTATGCGGTTAAGAATCAACACGAGAATAAAGTAAGTATAACAGAGATGAAGATGTTGCGGTGGATGTATGGTAAGACTCGACGGGATAAAATTAGAAATAAAATCTTAGAAGGAATGTTGGAGTAGTGCCTATAGTATAAAAGATAATGGAAAATAGACTTAAGTGGTTTGAGCATGTAGAGAGAATACTGGTAGATTTTTAGTAAGAATGGTAGACCAGATAGAGAGAATACCGGTAGATTTTGTAGTAAGGATGGTAGACTATGTGGAGAGAAACAAACAATTAGAGAAATATAAATACCTAGAAAGACTATCAAAAAAGTTATTAAAAAATATCTCAAAATTAATGATTTGAATAGAAACATAATACTTGATAGAAAATTACGGTAAAAATTGATCCATATAGTCAAATTCTAATTAATAAAATAATGCTTAGTTGTTAGTTGTTGTTATAGGGATTGTATCTTGCAATTGCAACTTGTAAAAGAAATTCTTATTTTTTTTAATGCACAATTTCCCTAATATCGAAAAGTAAACAATTTCTCAAAATTTGCAGGTTGTCATCTATGTTCTTTTTCGTCCAGTATCAAGATATCATTACAAAAAAGTAAACAAAGTGCTCACAGAAGTACTATGGTTAGAGCTCATATGGCTGGTTGATTGGTGGGCAGGCGTTAAGGTTTGTTTGATCGATACTTTCCGTCTGATTATAGACGTGTGCCGACTTTATAATGTAGTCGACTGCATGTCGACTGCATGCTACGTGTTGGATTAAGAATATTGGTAGGCAAGAAGAAAAATCTTACTAGTTGAATGATCTTGATGTTGCAGATTGAACTATATGCAGATTCAGAAACCTTTAAATTGTTGGGTAAGTTCTTATATTTTATTTTTTTTCTTTAACATTTTGTTGCAACAAGATCTCATAAATTTGCATTTGAGAGAATTTTAGGTAAAGAAAATGCACTTCTGATATGTAACCACAGGAGTGACATTGATTGGCTTATTGGATGGGTTCTAGCTGAGGTAAATTCTTTCATGTTCTAATATAATTTGTTAAATTACATCTTTGTTTTGATCTTTTATTTATATCATATGGCTTCGTGTGTGACAGCGTATGGGTTGCCTCGGTAGCGTTGTCGCCATTATGAAGAATGAAATCAAATATCTTCCTGTAAGTATTTGTAATCATCTCTTCGCAACACAACTGATAAGGTTTCTGATAGGAATATCTAGATTGAATCCAATGCAAACCACACAAACCGGGACGGATATTAATCTTTTGCTATGAAAATTCGATCTTAACTGATCTATGCAGGTTCTAGGTTGGTCAATGTGGTTTGCTGATTTTCTATTTCTGGCAAGAAATTGGGCTAAAGATGAACAAACACTGAAGGTAAATCAAAATAAATCATCCTAATATATGTTTTAACAGAATGTTTTTATCAGAATTTTATTCATATCTCTCTTGATTTTTGTTGGCAGACAGGTTTTGAGCAGCAAGTGCGAAATCCGGTGCCTTTTTGGTTGGCTCTTTTCCCCGAAGGAACTCGCTTTACACAGACAAAACTTATAGAAGCTCAGGAATTTGCTAGGTCTAGAGGAATGCCTATACCGAAAAACGTTTTGGTTCCTCGTACTAAGGTGAACAACATTTTGATTTTGCTGAAGCTGATAAACATCTTTCACTGCTGATATAACCTTTCTCCAGGGTTTCGTCACAGCTGTAATGCATACATGGACATTCGTTCCAGTCATTTACGATTGCACGTTTATAGTTTCGAAGACTGAGCCTTCACCTACAATGTTGAGAATATTTCAAGGCATTCCTTGTACGGTAAGGTTGTGAAAACATTGACAGAAGTTAACGATGCAATTAACGATATCTGGATTATCCGCAATCCTACAGTTGGACTATTCCTCTGCTCTTTTTTTTTCTTCAGGTGAAGGTTCAAGCCAAGCGGCACAAAATGGAGGAACTTCCGGAAACAGCCGATGGCATTGCACAGTGGTGCAAAGATCTTTTTGTCGCCAAGGTATTACGAGTAACTTAAATGTTAAGTTCCTAAAGAGAATGCGAAACTTATAACACTTTCTCACCAATCAGGATGCTTTACTAGAGCAATATAATACTACCGGCATATTCAGCGAATTTGAACTTCAAGAAAGTTGCCGGCATAAAAGATCTATAATGGTAAGTTGACATGTTTGGCTCGAGTAAAAAGGTTTACCAAACAGGAAAAATTACTGATGCAAATTATTAACAGGTTGTGCTAAGTTGGTCTTGTCTCCTTGGCTTCCTTCTTTACAAATTCTTCAAGTGGTCTTCACTCCTATCCACGTGGCAAGGAATTTTGTTAACGGTGGTTTTCCTGATTATCGTGTCAGCTGTTATGGAAACACTCATTCATTCATCTCAATCAGAAAGTTCTAAACCTGCCGATTTACCTATACAAAACCCCATCAAGCAGAGGCTTCTTCATAGATAAGCAAAAACTCACCATGAATTAATGTTAATCCCTTTACATGTCTTTATCTCAGTCGGCAACAACATATGTACATTACATGTTTCTTCGTCCGTAGCTTTTTGGTTAGAAAATGCAGGATTTGTTTAGGTAGAATAATGTCATTGATATTCAAACTAGTTCGCTCCTAGCGCGTATTATAGCAACATAAATATGTCTTTTAACGTAAATTCATGTATCAGAAAAGTATTAGTAATGGTAAGGAACTGGTGATCAATGAAAAAGAAAGAAAAATCTGTCAAAATTTAAATACTATCATTTAGATGAACACATTGCATGGCCCTATTTTACGAATACATTGATAAGTCGTATACATGTCTGAAATCCTTACAAAGTATAGACGAGAAATCACAACACTGGCCTCTTCCTTAATGTCCTTAGTTTTGTTTCACCTTCATGGCTGGTATATTCTTAGCAAAAACTCACCGCTTTAACTTCTTCGAACCTTCTTTTTGCTGCTGCAAAATTTAGCATCATGATATATTTTACTGATTAGAAGCTAAAGAGGGGTAGCAAATCATGATAATTGATCTTTTTTGCAGCTTCATGCATTATCATTAGTCACAAAATTTAGACATCTTAGATCTATCATACAAAAGAATCGAACTTGTTGCAGCTTCATGAATCATAATAAATCGGATAGTCCAAAAATATAAGAAAGACAGTGCATACCGGCTTTGAATCAGTGGCGGTTGTTGGAGAGGGTGTTTTAATTTTACCACTACCAGAGACAACCTCGTCCATGCTTTGTCCCTGTCGTCTGTATCTACCACCAGAAGCAACAAATCCAGGGCATGGTCTGTAAGCCTTTATGGGCCACCATCCAAAGCCAGGCACAGTTGCAATCCCGCCTTGCATCCTTCCTTCACCATTGCATCCTCTCTCTATTTCTTGTTTTCCACATGCTTTACAACCACTGTTAAAACATGTTCAGAAACTATATACCTTAAAATATGTTGATGTTTTTCTACATGACAGAGACACTCTATATTGAAAGTTTGTCGTTAATAGGTAATACTTGAAAAGTTTTGATTAAAAAAAAGAAAAGGAAAATGGATGGATGATACCTTTGTTGGGTTGAGGATTTTGATTGATTGGGAATAGCAAGTTGTTCTTCTGGTGAAGAAGAAAGGAGGGAAGTTGGAGTAGAAGAAGGAGAACACTGTGAGGGAGGAACAAGAATCTTAGAAAAACAAGGGGAAGTAGTAGCTGACCATGGATTTTTTGGCTTGTGCAATTGAACCTGATGATAATGTTGAGGAGTTGGAACCGAAAGGAAAGCTATTGTCATTCTTTCTCTCTCCCTCACTCCCTCAGTCTCTCTATTTGGGACAGAGTAATGTGAGCCACTCTTTTAATTCTCTACTTATCCTAAATTTCAAGTATTTTATCAGTGTGAGGATGTTAAAGAAGAGTTGAGATTTCTTTTCTCAAGAATTAAGGCACAATTTTAATCCAATTCCGAAAGAAAAAAAAACAGATTAATAAGACTTATGTTTAAAAAATAGATATAGTAAATTTCTCTTTCATATAAAGTGCTTCATTAATAATAATTTTACCAAATAAAATAGATTTTCAGCTATAAATATCTATTTAATCGTCAAAAAAAATGAATTAGTCCCTTTTACATGGGCAAGTTGTCCGTGCAGTAGTAACATTCCTACAATATTTCTTAAACAATTTGACAATAAGAATGATAGAATCGTTGTAAGGGGATTAATGTGCAAGGAAATGCAAAATTGTGCCCTTAAAAACACAGTTAAAGGAATAAATAAAAAAAGTGAAATTTTACTATTTGAAAAAAAAAAAACAGTATTTTGACTTTTAAAAGTTGAATGAGCAATACGCTTTCTACAACAAAATCATCATTTGTTAGCACAAGTTTGGAAAAATCTCTCAGCAAAAAATGTACACCCTACTAAAATGCACGCCAAAGTTGGAGTATGCTTTTGCATTAGCTCCCGCAATTGCGGCTCGCCGTCCGTTTTGATTCACAGGGAATCTTTTCCATCGATCTTTTTGTGTTTACTAATCCATTAACTCTATTTTTAACTCTTTTGTAGCCCATTGCAATTTCCTGTATTATATACAGTATGAAAACAAAAGATTCAAAGCTCAACAAAACTTCCAATTACCAAAATAATTTCAAGCATCTTGCTTCTGCAAATAAACCTTTTCTGAAACCAGTATCAGACATAATAACATATCATCTCTCTTACTATTATTATCCATGCATAATTTGTTGCTCTACATCCCCATTCATCACAGAACTGTGATGATGAACCATATACCACCGTCCATTATGGAACTCAAACACATTTGTTACATTGAACGGCCCTGTATCCATGTCAACATATGTTTTCATGGTAACCCAAGCCATGTCAGCCAAGACCCGAGCTCGTACATCCCGAACCTGAAAGTTCAATCCTTGCTCCCAGTTGAAAACGAGTTGCCAGCCCCGCATTACTCCATTATACCTGTAGCACGGAATATTGGGTTCTTTAACCGTGTTTATTCAGAGCAGAATGACAAAAATTACAATGAAATGCAAAGAATTGTCCATATAATTTCACAAACTTGCAAGATCTCTAAAAGAAACTATTTATCAAATATATAGGTCTATTCTCCAATACCTTGAGTACCCGGTCCCTAAGTTACCAAAACCCAGTTTTATTGACCTGAAGCTAATACTTGAGAATTCAGTCAAAATATCTAAGCTAGAAAAACAATAAAAAATTTGAACTGCTCATATTTGCTAGTACTCTAGATTAGATGTCTCTAGCACGAGGAAAACCCCTGCCTAATAGAGAGTTAGCAAGGAAGAGAAAGAGGGGAAGGAGGTCAAAAGTAGATAACTACTAGGGACCATATCATACTGCCCTCTTTTCTAAGGGTCTATTAAGGAGGAGGATTTTGGAGGATTAAGTCTATATCTTAATATATGTTTAAAATTAGAGAAAAGGTTTTATAATTTGCCTAATCTAGACATGAAAAATAAACCTTCCCCTCCCCTCCAAAACCTTCCTCTCCCTCTCAAACAGATCCTAAATGATTGTCGTTTCAGGTTGTTCCACAAAAAAAAATGAATGAATGAACGAGCATAACAGTTGTATAAAATTATCCTTATTAACCATTGGTTAATAATAGTATAATGACTTGAGAGTAGTGCATACAATATTACTTATGAGTGATATTGGAAAAAGCAAAATTAATTGTCTTGAAAACAACAATAAGAAAAATGTTCTGAAACAACTGTCATTTAGGAAACGGAGGGTGTAAGATGTTCTTTTATATCCTAAAAATCATCTAAGGTTCTAAGTGGAAACAGAGGGGTAAGATGTTTTTTTATATTCTCTTGTATCTGACTTAGATATAAAAACAAGACAAGTCCAGATTGAGTATCAGTTACAAAAATCAGTGACCCTAGTCAACTATAAGCATCCAAGAATTTCTGTCAATTTTATATACTTGGGACCTGACAATCTCTTTCAAGTAATACAGGGTATATCGTATAAATGCCATAACCAAAAACCAACACACGACAACTTAAACAAAAATATGAAAAATGGATAATTTTATAACAGAAAAAGATCATACCCTGAAAAAAGTTCTCCTGAGGCATGGATGCATTTCACATAATCTGCATTGAGCCAAAAACGACGCATTGCCGGAATGGACTTGTCTCTTACAATATTGAAAAATTCTGTATTAACAATCACAATTGCTCTTGTAGCAGCATAGTAAGCCTTCCACCCATTTCTTGGTGTGACGCTACTTTGTTCCAATGTGAAGTCCTAAAAAAATATTTTAAAAAGATTAGATACACATGGCAAAATGAGAATCACAAATGGAACAACCAAGAAACAGATGGAATAACCAAGAAACAACGCCGCACAAATCCACTTTCCTCTACAACCTAAACCCCACATTTTAAGGGCAATAGCAATTTGAAAACAGGACAATACAGGAGTCAAGTTGAAGCCCTAATGAGTCAATTATCCCATACCCTGTTTCTTCATATTCTCAAACACCTACGTTGAACACTCTAGGATTTCCAAGTATCTGAGAAAGTCTATTGTAATTTTTCCAACTGAACTAAACAAAACCGAATATAAAAATTCCAGTATCGTCTGTTGTTTTCTAAACCTAGAAATTGAAAAGGGCAAAAAGAAACATGAAGAGCAATGAATTCACCTTGTGATAAAGGGCTTTCCAGGCATTATCATCATTAGCAGCCTTCCGCATCAAAGAATTAGTCATGGAAAGCCGACACAAACTCGGATAATCCAAATAACTAAGAGCGTGCGTAGTAATCTCTGGAACAAGCTCCTCCATCATAGAACAACCACTTCTCCGATCAGTCAACACAACCGGCGCAGGAGAAGGACTGATCTCCATCATTTCCGCAACACTTCCGTTCAAGTACGGCACAGAATCTTGAGAATCGGAGGAAGCGCAGTTGCAGTGGTGGAACGGCGGCGTGAATCTGGTGAGTGAAAACCGAAAGGAAAACGGTCGGATGAGAGAGAAGAGCGCGAGGAAGAAACAGAGGGCGGTTACTGCGACGGCGAGGATGAAGGGTTCGGAGAGAAGGGAGAACATATCGATGCATAAGACATGAAAAATTGAGATTCGAAGAACATGAAAACCCTAGATTGGTGGAATTGGAAACCCTAAATTTGAAGAGAGAAATGAAGGGGGAAATGGAAAAGGGTAATAGTAATAATAAGAAGAAAGAAAAAGAGTGGAGTTGAAATTGTAATTGGAGAGAGTGGATGCTACTCGCTTGCTTGAGTGCTCTCTCAATCACTGAAAGTATGAACCCAACCGTTCACCACTGCTGCGTTCATGTTGCCTTCTCCGTCAAATGCGAGTAGTAACTAGTAACAATGTATTTTATTTTATTCCATTTATTAAAACTATTTAATTATTGCAAATAATTTTATTGATTATTGTATAATATTTTTCAAATAATTTTATTGATTATTGTATAATATTTTTCAAATGATTTTAATATTCTAAGGTTATAATATCATTTTTTAGTTACGAATTAGCCCATCAAATATTAAAATAAGGAATTAAACTCTCATGACTAAAAGATATGTATATTATAAAAATTTTAAAATTATATAATATGATATGATATGATGTTAATGGTTACTAACCTTGTTTGAAAGATAACATGATTCGGGTGATGAATAGTTAGGGTTTCACTCAGGCGAGCTTCGATCATTATTTTCGTTGTCTTTTTTTCGTCTATTGAAATATGAGTCAACTTTTTTACTGTTGAAAATATAATTCTATGTGTCAAAGCAGTATTTTCGACAAAGTTTGTTGTCGTCGAAATGTTGTGTGTCGAAATGTCGAAGAATGTCTCGACAAAATTGTGACTTAGCTTTATTTTGTTTGTTTAGTTGAGTTAGTTATGTTAGTTAGGGTTGCTTGGTGTGCAAGCAAATCTAACCTATAAATAGGGAGTAATCATATTATTGATTGCAACTGAAAACACAACAGAAGCATGGTTGAATAAAATTCTTAGTTTGAGAGCAGAGAAAAACTCTGCTGAAACAAATTCTTCTTCCTTCTCTTCATAAACCTTAACTCATTCTCTCCTAATTATATTTTTCTTCTTCCATTATCATTGTGCAGCAGCGATATAATCTTGCAACCAAAGGTGGTTGATTCGCTCGACTGAAGAGTGAAAAACAAAAGGAATAATCAATCAAGAAGATTGATTCTTAATCATCAAGATTTGGTTCGGAATTCATCAAAATTTAGTTCGAAATTCATCAAGTTATGGTGAAATTCTTGAACGGAAATCAAATGTATTTCCAACACCTACAAAAAGAAATCAGGTCAATAAAACATCTGCTAAAAATAAATAGTAATAATTTCATAAGAATAACACTTAAATCATAAACCATAAACCTTACTAATTCAAAAAACTCATCAACGTGGGATAATATGTCCCATATATAAACAAATATTTCATCCATATCGTACGAAATTTCTCCTAGAACACGACTGTCTCCCTCTCCATATCACTAAGTTTCGCTAGAAGAAAGCACGTGATGAACAGGGGTCCGCCTGTCCTCAAAGATAGCCTCGAGCATTGGGCGTCGCCTCTAACCCTAATAAACGTATCCTTTCAGTTTTTATAATTGAATATGTATGGGGAAAGCAACGTCCTCCTCGGGGTGGAGCTCACAGAGACCGCGCACCCCAAAATATTCCTTTCGCCTTGTAGAATGAGGAGAATATCCCAACAGTGTGTTTAATATCCAAGCCCCAGCAGAGGATCTAAAATCTTTAGATGAATGCCTGACTATTCGAATATATATAGAAATGGGTAGCACCTTGATAATATCGAATTCGAAGATAGTAAAAAGGATGTTTGATACGTGCCAAAAATATGTAAAATATATTAGCACTTATTAACTTAATTCACAAGTAATCAATGAAACCCCCTCCCCCAATTTATCAAGAAAATTTAATAAAAAACATGTATGAACTTTTTAACTATGTATATACAAAGTACAGGCAAAAAGGACCAAGAAAACACTAAAGTGCATCATTCAAGCCCCAAAGATGGTTAAGCCATAAATGGGCAGCAAAAGTTGGCTAAGGAAGAAACATGCAACAAGCTTGCTTAGCTAGAAATGAGCAACAAAAGTTGGTAGAAATGGGCAGCAAAAGTTGGTTAAGCCAAAAACAGACACAAAGCACGTTAAGTGAGAATAGGCAACCAAAAAGACTCCATATCTAAGTGATTTCAAGACTAAGTTACTTCAAGGTGAATGTAGAGTTTATGAACTAATCGAGGATGGTGATGTGCCATCCTCTCTCAAGCCTATAATATGTGTGTCATGTTCAGTTCAAAGGGAGTTTCTGTGGAGATGAAGATCGAAGGCGAAAGCGATGCTCGAGGGGTCGCTGCAGAAGCTGCCCAAGCCATTTCTTTTAAGGTTTTACTCTAAATCTATGATAAGTAAGCATAGTTGATTCTCTTTTACTGGATTATATGTAGTCATCTTTATACTCACATATTAATTATGGTAATGACGCTTTATGTAATTCTACTTAAGCTTTAATATTGATAATTCTTCGTTCATAATGCTTGTTTTTAATTAGCTACCTAAAACATGTTTTCATGGTACGACTTAATATACGAGAGGTTTTGGTCGTCACTAGATCCAAGTATACACTTATTGGATGCTAAGGCCTAGAGATAGGTTAAGGTTTAATGTCTATTTGATATCAATATATGTATTCATTGTTTGAACTTAATATTGTTGTATTTAATAGTGCGAGTGATGAGTTATGATGAGTGAAACAGGTGAGCGTATTAATATATAAGTAGAAGAGCATGTGTGACCAATGGTTATACATAAGGATAATGATGATGATGATGATGATATCTAACCCCAACAAGTTTTTTTCATTATTAACACCAAAATCTCATTTTATTTTTCGCAGCCAAACAACATTAAACAACTCTTACTTAGAATCATAAAAGTTGTTGAACTAAAAAATGCAATAAGCCTATGTGGATACGATAATATTGCACTTTTTATTTGCACTGCAACAAAATGGCTCAGTTTCTGAGAACTAGCATTAGTTTTTAAACATAATAAGATAATTTTTATCATTTTAAGTATTCGGTGAAACTAGCAAGAGTGATGCAATTCATAATTAGAAGGTTGACATGAAGGAGGTCAAATGCTATTGTTGTCAAAAGTTTGGTCATTATGCTTAAGACTGTTACTTCAGCAAAAACAATGGTGATGACAAGGGCATGGATCACTTGCTCATGTTAGTATGAGTGATGTTTAAAAGTTCATCTTGTGGTTGTAACATATTTGCCTTCAGATAAAGAAAATGTTTGGTACCTTGACACAAGTTGCAACAATCATATTGTTCTGGACTGGACTGAGACCTGCCCCTCAGTCGACCAGGCCCAACCCAGTACCACGATGGAGAGGCCCAACAAGGCACAATCCTCCCCTGTCGGGCACGCACCTCAACAAGGAACCTCAATCTGGCATGTCATTATCTTGCACGGGGAGAGCTCACGCGCTTTCCCCACGAACTCCACGTGCTCCCACGCGGGGACACGTTATCAAGAAACTACCCACCTCCGAAAGAGTCGGTCATCCCACCTTCCAAAGATCACGAGGCAGTTGATCCAGGGAAAAGAACATGTGATGGTCTTCCCTACGCACGTAAGCCCTGGAAGTTACTTGAGTTGGGCTTGGCAATCTGGCCCAACATAATGTAACGGTTGGCCTTGCGCTCAGGACTCATTATAAATACCCTCTTTCACTAGAGGGTCATCTATCTTATTCTTCATGCCTATTCTCTTTGTACTTTCTCTTTCTAAACTATGTTACTCACTTAAGCATTGGAGTACCTTGCAGGTACACCCCTTCCTCCTCTACAATACCGGTGAACACAAGAGCTCACAACGCGTGGCAGGCTACTGATTCCTTTCTGATTAGGTGAGATCAGTGGCGCCGTCTGTGGGAACTTTTTACTCCCCCGTTCTTTCTCATATCCAAGCATAAAAGCTCAAGAACCAAAGTAACTTTCAACTTCCATTTTGATCATAGCCAGCCCGCGCGACAATAATGCTTCGGAAACCGCCTTCGTCCCTTTCTCCAACGAGGACGGCCACGACCCCATTGTGATCGTTCGCAACTACGAGGGAGACTACAGGGATGGGCGCACTGCCTATCCCTCCTTGGAAGATGCGGTCTTTAATGACGTTCGATGCTTCGATAGCCCGGCTGTCTACCAGCCCATCCCGGTGCCAGCAGGCACCAACCCTACCATGATGGCTTTGTTCGCGGCGATCAATCATACCAACCTGATGATCTTCCAACAGAACATCCAAATAATGATGCTCGAAAAGGGAGTGACCATCACGCTCTCCCCCGCAGAGACATCGTCGTCCAATTTCCAGCAGCCCCTTTCCTCTATCGCGAAGGACGCAACATGTCGACGATTCTCGGAGCCTTTATCCCCGACTAACTGGGCTTCACCCTCGTTTGGAGCGACCACAACCAATGGCTTCCTAGAAGCACGACCGATTACCTACCTAGAAGGAGAGACACTCCCCAGCTCACAATAAGAACAAAGTCGAAGGAGGCGTCACTAAGCCAAGAGCCCGACCGAGGAGTCTTCCCCAACGAAACAGAAATAACCGAGGATCACTCTCCCCCTTACTGTCACCTGTCAGGAGTGACGAGGACGTCCAACACTCACCATTATGTAGGGCCATCAGAGAGGCCCCACCGCCCATCGGGATGGAGAAACCCCCTCCCTTGGCAACATACGATGGCACGACCGACCTAGGCAACCACTTAGAAAGCATCAATGCGATGCTCAACTATCGAAATGTGTAGAGAGACATCAAGTGCATGATTTTCCCCACTACCCTGAAAAAGGGTGCCATGACGTGGTACAAACACCTCACACCCGAATGCATCACCTCCTAGAGCAAACTGAAGAGGCAGTTCTCCAGGCACTTCACAGCTTCCTGGCACCATCCGAAGACAGAGGCGGCCCTGGAAGCCATTATCCAGAGGAGGAATAAACCTCTT